AGACAGATCAAGGCCAGAGAAAATGACTAAAGTCCTGGCCGCTATAGTCCAGAAAGAACAGCCACCCCCAGAAGGCACTCAAACAACACGCCCTCCCAGGCGGCCCTTAGATAAAGATCAGTGCGCCTATTGTAAAGAAAAAGGCCATTGGGCACCAGAATGCCCCAAAAAGAAACAACCCCGCCCCAGCCAAGGACAATGGCAGCCTAAAACAGCCCCCATACTGTTTACCCAAGATACAGAATAGGGAGGACAGGGTTCAGATCCCCTCCCCGAACCTAGGGTAACATTGCAAGTGGAGGGGACCCCGGTCCAGTTCCTAGTTGATACCGGGGCACAGCACTCAGTTCTGGTCAAGCCCCATGGAAAAGTATCTGAAAAATCTTCCTGGGTACAAGGAGCCACCGGAATAAAAAAGTACCCCTGGACAACTCAGAGGACTGTGGACTTGGGAACTGGGAAGGTAACCCACTCCTTCCTGGTTATTCCCGACAGCCCCTGCCCCCTGTTGGGGAGGGATTTGCTTACCAAAATGGGGGCCCAAATTCATTTCCAACTGGGAGGACCCACAGTGACTGACTTTCACAACCAACCCATATCTGTACTCACTGTGAGACTAGAAGATGAATACAGGCTCCATCAGAAACCCACTCCTCTGGACCAGGGCACCGAGCCCTGGCTTCAACGCTTCCCAGACGCGTGGGCAGAAACGGGTGGTATGGGGCTAGCAAAACATCGCCCAGCCCTATTTATAGAGGTCAAGCCCGGGAGGGACCCCGTCCGCGTGCGCCAATACCCTATGCCCGTGGAAGCCAAAAATGGCATCACACCGCATATCCGCCGCTTCCTTGACCTCGGGGTCCTACGCACCTGCCACTCAGCATGGAATACCCCCCTGCTGCCCGTGCGCAAACCCAACAGCGGGGAATACAGACCAGTGCAGGACCTGAGAGAAGTCAATAAGCGGGTGATGGACATACATCCAACCATTCCTAACCCCTATACTCTCTTGAGCGCCTTCAGCCCAGAAAAACAATGGTATACTGTTCTGGATCTAAAAGATGCTTTTTTCAGCCTACCACTAGCGCCTAAAAGTCAGGAGCTATTTGCATTCGAGTGGACAGATCCAGACAGGGGCATAAATGGCCAACTCACTTGGACCAGACTGCCACAGGATTCAAAAACTCTCCGACCCTGTTGGACGAGGCTCTACACGAAGATTTAAGTGAGTACAGACAACAACACCCTAATATAACTCTCCTGCAGTATGTTGATGATCTCTTAATAGCTGCCGAGATGTCCGAAGCCTGCATCCAGGGAACCGAAGGTCTCCTGCGAACTCTGGGAACCTTAGGCTACCGCGCCTCATCAAAGAAGGCTCAGACCTGCAAGTCAGAGGTAACTTACCTGGGTTACTTACTGAAAGGGAGGCAACGCTGGCTAACGGATGCCCGGAAGGAGACCGTCCTTCGTATTCCCAGACCGCAGACACCACGACAGGTGAGGGAATTCCTGGGGTCGGCTGGGTTCTGCAGACTATGGATACCAGGGTTTGCTGAATTAGCAAAGCCTTTATACCAGGCAACAAAGGACCAACAGCCCTATAGTTGGACGGAAGAAGCCAAACAGGCCTTCCAACGAATTAAAACTGCTCTGCTATCAGCACCTGCTCTGGGACTCCCCGATGTCTCCAAACCCTTCCACCTGTGTGTAGATGAAAACCGAGGCATAGCTAAGGCGGTGCTAACCCAGCATTTAGGCCCTTGGCACAGGCCAGTAGCCTATCTGTCTAAAAAGCTAGATCCAGTGGCCGCCGGATGGCCACCCTGTCTCCGGATGATTGCAGCCACTGCCCTAATGGTAAAGGACGCTGATAAGCTGACCATGGGCCAAGAGCTACAAGTCACCACCCCGCATGCCATCGAGGGCATCCTCAAGCAGCCGCCTGACCGACGGTTGAGCAATGCCCGACTCACTCATTACCAGGGACTGCTGCTGAACCCCCTCAGGGTCATCTTCACCCCCCCCAACGGCCCTGAACCCAGCATCACTGCTGCCAGACCCAGACATGGGAACCCCACTTCATGACTGCGCCGACACACTGGCTCAAGTTTACGGGGGAGGACTTGCAGGCCCAACCATTATCGGATGCGGACGCCATCTGGTTCACCGATGGAAGCCGCTCCGTTCACCAGGGACAAAGGTATGCGGGGGCGGCCGTAACTTCAGAAACTGAGGTGGTTTGGGCAGAAGCCCTACCCCCCGGAACCTCGGCCCAAAAGGCTGAACTAATAGCCTTAACCCAGGCCCTAAAATTAGGAAGAGACCGCAAGCTAACCGTGTACACTGATAGCTGATAGATATGCCTTCGCCACTGCTCATGTACATGGGGCGATATACAGAGAACGGGGGCTCCTCACAGCTGAAGGGAAAGACATCAAAAATAAAGAAGAGATTCTAGCCCTGCTAGCAGCCTTATGGGAACCCAAAAAGCTAGCGATTGTGCATTGCCCAGGACACCAGAAGACAACCGACCCAGTTTCCCGGGGCAACAATTTGGCCGATCAGACTGCAAAAAACATAGCTCGGCCCCCAGCGCAATTGCTGACCCTACAGCTGCCAGACCCCGGACCCTGGGAATTGCCCCCCAGCCCTGAGTATTCAGAAAGCGATATTCAACGGATGAGTAAACTTCCTATGACCCGAGTCAAAGATGGCTGGTGGAGAGACTCCAAAAGCAGCATTATACTCCCAGATAAACTAGGGTGGCAGGTTCTAGAGCGGATCCATCACAGCACCCACTTAGGTTCCCGGCGAATGTTGGACTTACTGAGACAGACTGGACTAAAAATCAGAAATGTCTCCAATAAAGTCGATCAAGTAGTCACTAAATGTACACTGTGCCAACTCAACAATGCAAATAGCAATCCTCAGGCAACAGGGGTAAGACAAAGAGGGAGCAGACCGGGGACCTATTGGGAAGTAGATTTCACTGAGGTAAAACCAGGAAAATATGGATATAAGTATTTGCTGGTTTTTGTAGATACCTTTTTAGGATGGACTGAAGCCTTTCCAACCAAGAATGAAACAGCGCAGATTGTAGCCAAAAAGATCCTGGAAGAAATCCTGCCCAGGTATGGTTTTCCAGTAATGATAGGGTCAGACAATGGACCTGCATTCGTCTCTAAGGTAAGTCAGGAACTGGCTTCCATACTTGGGGCTGATTGGAAATTACATTGTGCATACCGACCCCAAAGCTCAGGACAGGTAGAGAGAATGAACAGAACATTAAAGGAGACCCTAACCAAATTGACCATGGAGACTGGCGTTAACTGGGTGGTCCTTCTCCCCTACGCTCTGTTCAGGGTGCATAATTCCCCATACAAACTGGGACTCACACCCTATGAAATAATGCATGGTAGACCACCCCGTATCATTCCTAACCTAAAAGATAACCTTGTCAAAGCTGAGAACGATAATAGTCTTGAATTCTGGTTCTCCCTACAAGCCTTGCAGAGGGTCCATGAAGATGTATGGCCCAAATTAAAGGAACTCTATGAGACTGGACCCCCGCCTATTCCACATCAATTCCAGCCAGGGGATTGGGTCCTCGTCAAACGTCATCAGCAGGAAAATCTGGAACCCAGGTGGAAAGGACCCTTCCAGGTCATCCTGACAACACCTACGGCCATCAAAGTAGACGGAATCGCCACCTGGATTCATTGCACCCACGCCAAGCCTGTACACCCATTCTCAGACCTCATCGGACCTCCAGCGAAAGGAACAACCTGGACAATCAACCGGAGTAAGGACAATCCCCTAAAAATCACCCTGCGCCGCAAACCACCCAAGCCATAGCCATGATAATCATTCTGTTCTTTGTAACCTCTTTTATTTTACAAACCCCCTTTGTGAGCGGAGGCCTCGAACCTCCAGCTAAGGAGGCAATACTACATAACTTATATGGAAAACCATGTGAATGTAGAGGGGGAAAGTCTGAATCCCCAGTAGTACCCGAGCGGTACACCTACACACAGGATTGTGGAGAAACAACCGCCTATTTAGTTCAGAATTATGGAGCAATGGGGGGCTCTCAATCATGGAAATGTGTTCCTAAACCTAAAACTCTCCCCCCTAGCTCTAGATGCCCCTGTAGCACTTACCAAGACTCCATGCACAGTGCTTGCTATACTGCTGTCTAGCAGTGTATAGGACAGGATAACAAAGCCTACTTCACCGCAGTATTGCAGCGTGCCAGGACTGCCGCGGTAACGGGAGAAAATGAATATATGCAGGCAGGATGCCGGGGCACAGTAGGAACTCGTGTGCTGGAATACCAAAGCCCCGGTACACATTTCAGACGGGGGTGGGCCCCAAGATACGGTCCGACAAATTGAAACCCGGAAGAAACTTGAAAAAAATATTTCAGGGGATGTATCCCCAACTTAATTACCACCCACTAATTCTGCCTGAAAATAGCCATTCCGACCTGGACCCTCAGACTATGGATATAATTAAGGCTACCTTTGCACTCCTAAATGCCTCCAACCCCGCTCTAGCCCAAGACTGCTGGCTATGTCTCCCTCAGGGGCAGCCCAGACCTATAGCAATCCCTCCCACCCTAAGCCTCGATAGCACTGATGACTGTCATCCCTTAAACCCTGTCGACCCCTTCCCCATGCAATCTCTCATTGTATTCAATATCTCATGTCTTGTTAAAAATCACACAGACCCTAACGACAGTATTGATTTAGGGGAAGTCTCTTTTGGTGACTGTACCAACTATACAGTAATCAACTCCTCACTATGTAGCTCCAACACCACTGTATTTATATGTGGGGGCAATCTCGCTCACACTTACCCCCAAATTGGACAGGAATCTGCGTCCCAGCAACCCTCCTTCCGGATGTAGACCTGGTTCCAGGGGATTCCCCGATGCCTATACCTAGCTTAGACTATCTACCAGGGAGAGCCAAGAGAGCAGTGGCAGTCATCCCCCTATTAGTAGGGTTAGGAATAACAGGAGCTGTAACAGCTGGATCGGCGGGCTTAGGTGTATCTGTCCACACATACCATCAACTTTCACGACAGCTAATAGAAGATGTACAGGCCCTGTCCGGAACCATCCAAGACTTACAGGATCAACTTGATTCCCTAGCCGAGGTAGTATTACAGAATAGAAGGGGACTAGACCTGTTAACTGCAGAGCAAGGTGGGATATGTTTAGCCCTCCAAGAAAAATGTTGCTTTTGTGCTAACAAGTCAGGAATAGTAAGAACAAAAATCAACTCCAAGAAGATTTAGCCCACCATCGGAAAGAATTAGCTGACAACCCTTTATGGTTCGGACTCAACGGCTTCCTCCCATACCTCCTCCCCCTCTTAGGGCCATTGCTAAGCTTGCTACTTCTCCTCACAATAGGGCCATGTATCATAAACAAAATGTTAGCTTTTATCAAAGAAAGAGTCAATACTATTCAACTGATGGTCCTCAGAACCCAATAGCAACCTATCGTTAATGAAACATTTGAGTCAAACACGTAAGATCCAAGATTGGCTCTTAAGGCACCAAAGAAAGGGGGGAATGAGAGACTAAGAGAAAAGTTACCAGGGGTACCCACAACTGCAAAGAAAAGACCCCCCCCCCCCCCCCCCCCCCCCCCCCCCCCCCCGCCGGTCCCAGAACCAGCCAGGGCGTGCCAGGTTGTGGTTTGACCTAAAGGCGGGAACCAGTCAAGTTTTGCTGAGTGTTCAAATTTAAATATCAACCAATAACAGCTCTGTAACAGTGGAAGATCCCTAACTTCCCCATAACTTGTTTGTGCCTGTCTATAAAAAGGCTGTAAAAACCTCGCTCGGGGCCTCTTAGCGTCACTGACAACGAGTGCGCGGAGGTCCGGGTTCGAACCTGCAATAAACGGCCCTTGCCGCTTGGCTTTGACTCTGGACTCTGGTGGTTTGTTCTTGGGGGTCACCCGAATTTGGGCATATCATGGGCTGGGTAACACCTGGGGGTGTTGTGAGGAGGACGTGAACTAGTGCTTTTGAAACCGAGGCGTTTGCTTCATAATAATGGCAACTCTCCTTACTCTCCTAACACAAGCTGACTGGCTCCTGGTGTCCCACTGTCTCCAGGAAGCTCCACAGCTGGAGATGGTGTGGCCCTTGATCTCTGACCCCTCCCCCATGCGGTCTCTAGTTAGGGATTACTTTGATGAACCATTTGGGTCCCAGGTGCCACTGATCTGCACCACTCCCCCATCTGGGCTGAAGTTTGGCTTCCTCGGGGTCGGCCCTGCCCACTCACTATAAGGCTAAACTGAGGTTTTAGGGGAGCCGGTAGGGCTTGACCTGGAGATTTTGAGAGCATCTTGGCGCTCGGTCAAGAGAGGCTTTAAGTCAGGCGGCTGTGCTGGTGACCTTGGGCGAGTCTCCTGTGTGAAATGATAATAAAGCCCGCTGGAAACGGGAATGGGGGGAATTAAGTGTGACTAAGGGGGCTTGGCCTCACGTTCTGACTTCACACTAGCTGGCCTCCATTCCCTTTTGGCTGCAAGGAGTGGGGGCTGGGCTGGCTGTGAGCTCCTCCCCCACTGACCCACCCCTGAAGCACGTGGCACTGCCTCAGGGCCAAGGGGAAGACTGGCTTTCCGTAGGCAGGGAGCCAGCTCTGTTTTTCCTCCGTGTGGTTGGAGTCCGAGCGGTGGCCTGCCCCCAGCTTCACAGGCTGTTCAATGGTCGGGTCATGATTTAGGGTCACTCCCCCCAAACCCAGAGATAAGTGACTCACCCAAGGTCACGAGGCCACCACTGGCAGCCAGTATGGGCTTCCAGGTGTCCTGACTTCAGCCTCTCGCCTGTGGCCATGGCACCCCCACCCCAGCTGTCTGGGTTATTTCGGGCTCCCTCCCATGCCAGCTGTCTGCTTGAAAGTAACCAGCATGGTGCTCTTGGCTCTTTCTGGGCCCCTTCCCTTGGCCCCATGAGGGTCTCCAGTCCCAGATAAGTTGGGTTTGGTCCATCTTGTCCTTTGGTGGGGAAAGGAGGTTCACTCCACTGTCCCTAGCACCAGAGCCCCTTCCCCCTATCCAGGGTGAGGGGAGAGGGGGAAGCACTTGGTAGAAGTTGAGGAGGCTCACGTTTTTATCCCATGGGCCTGTTCCGTTCTGGCCCCAAACACGAGGTTTAAACTCGGTAGTCATTGAATTGCTCATTGAACCCCTTTGATCCTTGCGAGACTGGCTCGATGCCTAAGGGTGTCCTGCATCCCTTTGGATAGAGTCCTTAGGGCTCCCGGATACAGGGGTCTTTATATCCCAAGGGCGTCGGATGATTAAATAATTGACTTAAACTTCGCCCCCCAGCCACAGCCTGAAGGGCTGAAGCCAGCTCCTCCAGTCCCGCCCTAGGAACAATTAGGGAGCAATTAGGTGCTAAACTGTGGTCTGGGTGTGATTCTCAGAAGGGTGAGGTGTCCCTGTGACCTGTAAGAGTCATACCCCCTCCCCACTACCATTTCTTCTTTACTTCTTTCTACTTTCTTTGCCCCTGCCACCTCCTGGGGGCAGGGAGAGACTGAGCAGCCCGTCTGTCCTCTGGCTGTATGTAGTTCCTCCGGGCTTAGAGGTTGGCCCCGCCCCCGGTCACCAAGCGAGCTCGGGGCGGGGCTGCTCCTGGGGCCAATCCGGTGGGGCCAGCCTGGAGAGGGCCACGCCAGCGGAAAGGCGGCCCAAGGCTGGGAGGTGGCTGGACCTGCCTCGCTACTGGACACTAGGGTCCCTCCTCTTCCGGCCCATCCGCCTGGAGCCCCAGCCTGGATACGACCTTTTGGACCCTCTGGGTGGAGACTGCCTCTGCCTGGACTGTGGAAAGAGGCACCCCGCCATCTTGGAGGCTGCCTGGATCCAGCGCGATCTCCAACTGGCCAGTGACCTCAGCAAGTCCCCGCCCCACTGGGAGCTGAGGGCTCCCCGTGTGAACCTGAAGGAGGAAGGTGGATGATGACTTTTTGAGATGTTTTTAATTCTGGCTTTGTGAGGGGAGCTTTTTGTGTTCCAGTGTGACCTCCCCACCAGCGCCACCAAGTGCTGCGACCTGGACAGAGTCCTGGGCTCCCAGGCCATTCCTGGCCACCTCCCATCTCTGGGACGTCAAAGAATAGCTCAGTTTTTTCTGCCTCATCTGGGGTGGATGACCCTTCGGGTGTGAGGTGAACTCTCAGGATGTGCAGAAGTGCCAGGGAAGTGGAGGCTGTAAGAATTGTCATTAACTTCCCCATCCTGTCCTGTGCTGGCCCGACTTTGCCCTGACAAGACAAGTGGATCTGGCCCTTATTCTCTCCTGAGCTCAGCCGGCCTGCTCCCCTAGCTTCTGTTCTGTGCCCATCAGCTCTATGGCAAGAACCAACTTAAAGAATCTTTCTTGCTCTCCTAAACCTCTCCAGGAATTCCCGGTGAATAGAAGGTGAATGACTTGGGCCCCTCAGCACATGTCACAGGTAAGGGAGCAGGGTTCCCCCATGCGAGTGCGCCTGCCCAGCTCCTCAGCTGGCCGGGTCTGGCCCAGCTGCCTCTGAGGAAGCTCTCGGCAGCTGGCCTGGCTCCTGGGTATTTTTAGGTACAGATCCATCCCCTACACCACCACTGGAGCTGGGTCCAGCTGAAACACACTCCAGGCTGGGTGGGGCTGGGGTGCTGCCAGCCCCTTGGCCAGGCAGGGGGTGGGCAGGCGGTCTGGGGCCAGCGTCAGCTGTTGTGCCTTGCTGCAGGCTGGCCCGGGAAGTCTCGCTCTTCCTCTCCTCCTCCCCCTGCCCCTCTGTATTGTGGAAGCCATTTGATCTGCCTCAGTTGGGACTGTAGCCCTGTTTCTCAGGTGGAGAAAATAGAAACCGAGGTCTGAGGATTTTGAGGAAAGTCAGGAGGTGTGATTAACTCCCCGGTGACAGTTTGCTCAGAGTGGGATGACCCTCCTAAGCGCATTCTGCCCCTAGCCCCTCCTCTCCTTCCCTTCCTGTCTCTCCCCAGGCTTCAGGGGCCCTGATTCAGGGTCAGGTCCAGGGCTGGCTGCAAAGGTAAGTGGTCTTCCCCTCACTCAAAGGCTTCTTCCAGCCTCCGTCTCCCCGAGTGATAGTAACCTGGTCCTTTCCTGCCAGCCTCAAGCTGCCACTGTGGAAAGATGACCCTCAGTCCTGCCTCACCAGCCAATCCCAGCTCCTCCATGGTCACCAGAGAGAGCTTGAGGGCCTGGCTTTGGCTGGGCTCCTGTTCTGTTCAGGAGTCTCCTGTCTGACACCCCCCCGCCCCTTGAGCCTGGCAGCAAGGCCCTCCATGATCTAACCCCGGTTACCTCGACAACCATGTCTGGCCTCCCTCCTCACTCCCCAGGCACTGCAGAATCTGATGGGGTTTTCCAGCCACCGTTCATTTGTCCAGGGTACCCATCTTGCTCCCGTTGGTCTGCCCTCCCAACACTGCCAAGCTTAGGCTCAGCCTTCGCTGAGCCCTACAGGGGTCTGGTCTCTAAAGCGTTGACATCTCCCGGACCCCTTAAAGAGGCTTCCCCTAAGACAGCTCCCTCCAGGCAGGAACACAATTGCCTCTCAATAAACTTGCGTGGTAAAAAAGGAATGAATGAGTTGCTGTAAATTTGTGTGTGTGTGTGGGGGGGGGGGTGCTTGACCTAGCAGGTGGCTCTCTGACCGGCTGCCTAAAGCTTGGGACTTTCACATAATAGCGTGGAACTAGGGGGGGCCTTACCTCCTTTTCCCAGCTATAGGCTTTTTTGTAAGCTCTCACGAGCGGTCGCTGCTCCCCTCTGGTGGTCAGACCTGCCTTGCATCCTCTGAGAACGGACGGGGCACTTAACAAAATTGCCAGGTTGGCAATTTCCTCCCTGAAGTAAAATTTACTTGGTCTTTACTGAGAACTTGGAAATTCAGAATCTTCCCGGGGATGCGGTGGGGGTGGGGCAAGAAGATCCTGAGTCCTGCCTAGCCCTCTCTGAGGAACCTACCAGAGATCCAACCCCAGCTGGTTGGACCCCTCTCCCTCACTTAGCCATGCTTCAATGCCTGCTTGCCACACACGGGCTCTAGGGGTCTCCTGCCTCTCCTGACCACTAGCCTGGCTTTTGCGAAGGACTGTTGCAGGGAGGGAAGGGTTGGGTGGTCTCAGCCAGCAACCCCCGTGTTATCCTGCACATAGTGCTTAATAAATAGTTGTTTTAATCAAGGGGCGTGGGAGGATTGATGAGACTGCCTGGCTTGTGGCCTTAAGATAGGTGGCTAATGGCTGGAGAGCGCTTAATCAAATCAAATTTAAGGGTGGGGTGGAAGTTATCAATGGGCCCAGCTTCTCACAACTAGATCTGTCCTAGCTTTCCCCATCCCTTCCTCGACGGTGTCTTCCTCGGTTCACGCCTCTGGCCCCTGCTAGAAAGAGGCTTCCGCCCGCGTGGTTTGGGGCCAACCCCCAAAGGAAATTGTTCCCGGAGTTCACCTGCCTTCCAAGCCGTCCGCCCCAAGATGACTGCCCGCCAGAGGGCGCCAGACGCCCACCTTGCGCTCTTAGGGAAGTGGGAGGGGTAGGTGAGGGGAACCGCTCTTCCCCACCCCCAACCTGCACCCACACTGGCGCCGGTAGGGCTGGGCTAGGTGGGCAGGCACGCCCCCTGTGCTAGCATCTTTCCTGGCTCGACCAACCTACCTAGTGGGGAAACTGAGGTCGGAAGCCGACTTGCCCCAGGCCACACAGCTGGGGCGGGGCAAAGCGAGGGGGCTTTTCCCAGAGCTGGAGACCCAGTCTCCTGAACTCTGGTGCTGGGGCAACGGTCCGCCAATCAAAGAGTCTCTGTCAGATGGGGGAGGCCGAGTCGACCAATCAGAGGGGCCCTGCCAGAAGGCGGAGCCTGCCAATCAGGGGTGCCCAGCGAGGTACCGCGGAAACCATCGAATCTTGCGGGTGGGGGGCGCGCCGTGACGTGCAGGGGAGCGAGTGGGAGCCGCGCTTCAGGCTGAGCTCCTGTTTCTCAGCTGCCTCAGTTTCTCTGGGAATGACAGGTGAACGCACCGGGCTAGGACCCTAACGAGAAGGAAAACGGGTTGGGAGGTGGGCTTGGGTGGCTGCCTGGCGGAGGTGATGCCTGCACAAAGTGGGAGGGGCTTCTCTAGCTCCGCCCCTGGATCCCGCCCCCGCCCCCGATCTCTCAGCCCCAGCGGTCTGTCCCGCGCGCTGTTGCCAGTGCCGCCGGCTCCCGGCTATGGACGCCCCCGGGGCCCCGGGCCCGGACCCGGGCAGGAAAGAGCTGAAGATTGTGATCGTGGGTGACGGCGGCTGCGGCAAGACATCATTGCTCATGGTGTACAGCCAGGGCTCCTTCCCTGAGGTGAGGCCCACCGGGGGGGTGGGGGGGTGGTGAGGGTTAGGCTACGGGGGAAATGGGCTTGGGGCCATCGGGGGCGACGGACGGCCTTCAGCCTGGATCCCGGCTCCCCGGCGTCCAGCGCGCGGAGAGGCAGCCGCCACCCCGGGGCTCTTCCTCGGGAATTCCAGAGCCCATCAGAGTGAGGGGAGGTGAGCTGGATGGGGAGAAGGCGGGCGGTGCAGCCGTACCCGGGCCTCCGTCGCACCCCTTAAGAACCAGCCCGACCCCTTCTCCGACAGCACTACGCCCCATCCGTGTTCGAGAAGTACACGGCCAGAGTGAATGTGGGCAGCAAGGAGGTGACCCTGAACCTATACGATACCGCTGGTGAGTGCGCCTGCGCGCCGAGGGTCCCGGGTGTCCGAAGGGTTTCCCCCGCCCGGGTATCCCCCTCCGGGCATCCCCCCACCCCCACCAGCCTCTTTGGGCCCTGACATCCTGTCACTCCTGAAGGCTGCGGAGGGGCGCTGGCAGGGTGGCCCTGGAGGCTCAGAGGGCCTCAGTCGCCCCTTTGAAAGGAGGGTCTTTGAATGACATGAGCTCCTCCGCCACCTTCCTAGCGCTGATAATGCTGAGAACCCACGGCTTCGTTCCTCTCCTGTGGTTCTAGAAAACCGTGGGCATCACTTCTGCACCCCATGGTTCCAGGATTTCATGTGTTGCATGCTGTGGTCTCTTTAAGACTCTGTGGGCTGCAGGTTTGAGTCCACTGATGCTGGGATTCTGTGGGCTGAATTTCTGGGTCGGGTCTATAATATTCCATGCTACAGATCAGAGCCTGTGACTCCGGGATTCTGTGGTTGACAGTCCTGAGGCTCCAGGGTCCTGTGGATATTGAATCTGAGTTCCACACTCCTGGGATTCCATAGGCTACAATACACAGCTCTGGAATTCTGTGGTCTACAGTTCTGAGCCTGTGGTTCTAGGATTTTGTGGCTACAGTTTTCTGTGTCTTCCTGGTTCCCTACGAATAAACCAAGCACTGAGGAAGGAACAGAGCTATAGGGAACGTAAGTCCAAAATAAGGTTCTCTCTGCCACCTGCAGCTCCTAAAGCAAGTGGATTTATGCGAATCTGAGTCAGTTTTTAGAGTCCCTGTTGTTGGGAGCTGCAGGGAGGGGGTGGGGGGTCTGCCCCCAAGGAGCTTGCATCCTGCCCTCAGTCCCCCTCTGAGCTGAGCCAACACTGGGGGACAAAGGTCAGGTTCCCCGGATAGAACCTCACCCAACCTCTGTGACTCAGTGTTTAGTGATCTGCTTGGAACCATGTCATCAGGTGCCCTTTTCCCTGCCAGCCAAGCCTTATATGTGTAAGGGGAGGTCTTCCCTGGCCCGGGACAGGACGGAGCCCAAACCCAGACATGCCCCACCCCAAGCCTGTCAATGGATCTCTCATGCCACCCTGGAGAGAATCAGAAAAGGGACTGTCTGGCCCCCAGACCCCTCCTCCATTCCTGACTTCATCAGTCTTTACTGTATGGTGGCTCCTGCCCGTAACGGCTTCTAAGGAGCCCCATTTTGTTGGACGAGGACCCCGAAGGGCTACCCCCAGGGCAGGGCCGTGCTTCCAGCCCTGTGAACTGAGAAAGCCAAAGGTTGTCGAGGAATTCCCAGGGACATAGCTCTAGGAACAGTAAAAATCATGGTGTGGCTGGAACACTTTTAGTTTCACATGCTTCCTGTTGGGGACCCAGGGAGGGGCAGGTCCATTAGCCCCACTTTGTGGGTGGGGTGCTGGTGCAACAGGGAGAGTCAGAGGGGAGTGGTCATTCCTTCCTCTGACCTCAGGGCCTCTCCTATCAGATTCCTGGGGTTCACTGTTCGTGGAAGCCTCCCCCATCAGACCCAACACAGGGACCACTTCTGGTCATCGTGGCCTTGCCCAGAGAAAGATGTTCAAAGAACATGTCAGGACAGATTGTGGTGTGGGGGTTCTGGAAGTTTCTGCTTGGTGTAAAGAAGGATTTGCGCTAACAGGTGCTGCGGGAGGGATGGCGGAGCTTCAGGCCCAGTCATCAGAGGCACCAGGGCGGCCACCAGGGCAACGACGATCTTCCTGCCACATGCTTTGGAATCAGACCTGGGCTTTGTTGACACTGGCTCCTTGGCTGTGTGTCATCGGGGACACCTGGACCTCAGGTTCCTCCTCTGTAATCAGGGCTAAAACAGTCTTGAGGAGTAAATTAGATCCATGTGATGTATAACACAGGGGCTGGCTCTTAGGAAGGGCTCACTAAGTGTTGTGAGTTTTTAAGCACCACCCCCCCACACCACCATCATTCAGGCTCAGACCCAAACCCAACCTGTTCTGAATCCGTGGCCTGCAGAGATCTGTGCTGGCCCCCCGCCCTGCCCTCCCAGCAAGGTTCTCCCAAGCAGCAGAAAAACAGAGCTGGGGTTTGAACCTCTCAGTGGAGTCCTGGGGGAGTAGAATGGCTTCAGAGTCAGCAGGACGGCCCAAGGAGGAATACTCAGGGAGAAAGAAACATGGGTGTTTCTTCAAGGGTGTCCTACCGTGACCCAGGAAGCCCTGTTGCGAGGAACATGAAGGAGAGACTGGGTCATTCCTCTTCTACACACCAAGTGCCCAGCACAGCGCTTATGGAATGAATGAAGAAGAAATCTGAGGAGCGCCTGGGTGGATCATTTGGTTAAGCGAGCCCCGCATCTGGCTCTTGTGCTGACAGCTTAGAGCCTGGAGCCTGCTTCAGATTCTGTGTCTCCCTCTCTCTCTGCCCCTCCACTGCTCGTGCTCTTTCTCTCTCTCTCAAAAATTTATAAGCATTGAAAAAAAAAAAAAAAAAGAAAGAATAGAAAGAATAAATCTGGATTCAGAGACACCCTTGGAGAAGGTCCTGTGTAATAAAGGCAGTGAGATCCTCTCTACCTGTGGGGTAGATGGATATCAAAAATAAACAGCAGAAAAGGGTGGCCAGGTGACCTACTAGAGAAAGATAGAGACTAAGGGGGTGAAGGGAATGACTATACTGGAGATGAGTCTAGTAAAAGTTATTGTAGAAGGTTCTGGAACCTGATGAGCTAAACCCTACGGTGGGGCGGTGGAGGGGAGTGCAGAGTAGCATCTTTCTGACCAACCACTGGTTGATCAGCCAGAGCTGTGGGCTCGGGGTGGCCTCTGAGAGGTTGAATTTCTCCACACCCAGGACCTTGGCCACAGGGGAGGCCAGTCTGTGGGAGTCACGTGGGAGGCCAGTCTGGCTGTGCGTCTCCATCCTGCGGAAGCAGATACAGACACAGTGGCTTGAGGGTGGTTGAGGGGAGGTGGAGCTCTTAGTGCTGACAGGTGAAGGGGAGACGGGCTCCCCTGCCCCCACCCCCCACCCCGCCCTGACACTGTCAGAGGCAGGAAGCTGTGGTGTGGTCTGAAGTTTCCTGGACAGAAGGGAGGTGGGGACGAGGTGGGCTGTTAAGACACCAACTAGAGATGGAGCTATGCGGGCCTTGGGGTGGGCCCCGGGGTGAGGGTGTCACAGAATGGAATGGGGGTTGCCCGGGGAGGTGGGGGGCTGTGGTCCCCTTCCCAGCCTGAGATGGCAACAATAGGAAAAGTTGGGGGCAAAGGAGTTGTGAGACAGGGAATCGGGGACAAGAGGGGTATCTAGGGGCGAGGAGCCCTGGAGGCTTGAAGAGCTGAAGCCAAGGGCCGGTCAGAATGTGGCCTCAGCTCCAGGCTGGGGCTGCCCCGGCCCGGCTCCTCCTGCCTGGGGAGGAAGCACAGGTGGGCGGGCCCCAGTAGCAATACACGGGTTCCTCTTCTGGCAGCTTCCCCTTCTCATGCTGCCTGCACCCCTCCCCTGACCGACGTCCTGGCTGGAGCTGGGAACCACCTGCTCTGGTAGGTCCAGAATATTTGGGGACCACTGTGGCCCAGTGACACCCTCTCTCCTCAACCGGGCTCCGGGCCTTAGAGATCCCTGCCCCTGCAGAGATGACTGACACAGCAAAGCTCCTTCCCACAAAGGAAATACCCTCGTGCTAGGCGAGAGCCTCACTTCCTCCCCACCCCACTGGCACTGCCAGCTTCAGGAAGATGGGCCACTTCAAGGGGAGCTGGGGCCCAGAAGACCTTTCCTCTTCAGAAACAAATGCGTCCTTTTGCACATGACTCCGTGCAAGCTCATCTGCAGAGGCCAGAGTGGAAGCCCGGTGTGCCTCTGGACAGGTGACTTGGCCCCTTTAAGCCCTGGCATCAGTGTGGGTAGATGGGGAGGGTATTAGTATCGCCTTGTGGCTGGAGGGCCCCCTAAAACTTCTGGGTCCAAAGATCCAGGGTTAGAACCCTCGCCCAGCCCCCCCACCCCAGAAGTTTCTGGTTCAATAGTAACCATAGTAACAGTCCTTCCCCTTTGTCCGACATTGCTTAGCCTCCCAGTCCTTTATTTCCAGTATCAGGGGCAGGGTTATCACCCCCTTTGCCAGATAAGGAAACTGAGGTCCAGGGAGGGAAGGCACCCGAGTCACGGAATGAGAGTCGGAGTGTAGCCTGGCTCTCCTGACTCATAGAGGAGAGGTGTCAGGACACTCCACACCTCCCGAGAGGACATGAGGCCAACAGCACGCGGGAGTCCATTGTTTGTTGGCCTGGTCCCCATGTGGAGGTCCACACTGAATCTTGGGAAAGTTGAGCCAGGCACAGTCAAGCCAGGAAGGCAACCTGGAGGAGGGAGCTGGAAGCTGGGCTGGCTGCCCATCCCCTCCCAGAACCCCTCTGTCTTGAGATACCTGTGTTGGCAGTCTTTGCCTTATTTGGTTGGGCCTGGGGCTTGTAGGGTGAAGACAGCTCCCTACCCTCTCGAGTGGACTGAGAGAGGCACCCCCAGTAGTCTCACCTACGGCCCTCTGTCTTTTACAGAGTGTCCCCTTAGCTGTGTGACCTTAAGGCAACTCGCTTCACCTCTCTGTGCTACACTTTCTTGCATCTCTAAAATGGGGATAACTACAGCCCTACCTTGTTGGCATCGTGATGAGGTAGTGTAGGCCACGGGCTTCAAATGAAGCCATGAGAGAGCACAACGAGCCTTCGTCATGAGTGAGCACTGCCGAGGTGTGTTGTTTCACAGGTCAGGAGACCATCTGTGAGGAAACAAGGTCCAGAGGTCAATTCCCAGTCGGGATCTTGGGGAAGGCTCCCTGAGAGAATTTTTGGCCATTTTCGAGCAGCGCGGCAGGCAGCTGACCTTGGAGTTAGGGACTGAGCTGGCTCTCCAGCTCACAGGGAACCTGTCTATGACCTTGCAAAAGGCACCCCCCCCAGCCACATGGGCTCCTAACAGGAAGAACTTTCTCCGCCCAGCTTACCTCCCAGGGTGGCTGCTTAAATTAACACAGGTGATCGAGGTGAAATGCCCTTGCTGACAGCCGGGGAGATTATCGTTACACCTACTCACCCACTCATTCGTTCGTTCACTCACCACACGTTTATTGCGTGCGCCTGCATCCCAGGGGATGACAGAGATGGCCCCTGTCCTCCGGGGCAAGTGTGCTCATGGTGGGGAGACAAAGCCAAACCCAAACCAAACGTCAGGAAGTGATACGTACTCAGAAGAATAATAAAGCCATGGTCGGACATGGGACAGACTGGGTCGAAGGCTTTGTCTCCGAGCAGTCAGGAAAGCTGCCCCCGAGGAGGTGACATTTCTGCAGAGACCTGAAGGAAAGGAGGGAGCAAGCCTTGCTGCTACCTGGGGAAGAACCTTCTAGAAACAGCAAGGGCAGAGGCCCCCAAAGGGGAGCAGGCTAGGTCTGGCTTCCTCCTTCAACCCACGGCTGCCCGACTTCTGCCCTCATCAGCTCTGCTGAAATCCTCACAGGCCGTAATTGCTAAACCCCCTGGCACGTCGCGGCCCTGGTCTCTGCTGCATCTGACAAGAGCTGAACAGCGTCAGCCAACAACCAGCCAGTCTTGACTGGACGCCTGCCGGGCGCCAGGGGTTATTTGCGAGGACAGACATGGTCCCTGCCCCCAAGGTGCTTACAGTCCATGGGGAGACAGGCAGTAAGCCAGTGTCTGAGCACAGATTGTGGACACCCAGGGTGGGGGAGACTCTGTGTGGTGAGAGACGAGGGACGGCCTCTCTTGAGGGGCCAGCCAGTCAGGATGAGGGAAGCCGTTGGAGCACAAGAGGCCTGTTTTACAACTACTTGTCCACTCCGGCCCTATTTTTTTTTTTTAATGTTTATTTTTTTTTGAGAGACAGAATTTAAGTGGGGGAGGGGCAGAAGAGAGGGAGACAAGGATCCAAAGCGGGCTCCAGCCTCTGAGCTGTCAGCACAGAACCCGACGTGGGGCTCAAACTCAGGAACCGCGAGATCATGACCTGAGCTGAAGTCGGACGCTTAACCGACTGAGCCATCCAGGTGCCCCTACTCCTGCCATATTTCTAACAGGGAATGGATATGTATGTTATGCCAGAATTAGGAAACATCATTAAATCATGGAGGACCAGAACCTATTTTTGCACAATGCAAAGCAGAATAGAGCCTTGCTGGTATCACCAGAAGGAATGCTTGACCCAGAACTTGATAAACTGGGGTTGCGTCCTGCCTGGCTCACTGATGACCTCGGGCAGGTCACTTTGAGCTCAGTGTACATGGGAGTATTCTTAACTTCTTGACTAGCATATCGGGTGGTAGCTGTAAGGATTTCTTAACTGTCCCTAGCCAAAAGCACTCTAAGAAGTGTCTAAAGCAGGGTGTCTGGGTGCCCCAGCGTGTTAAGCGTCTGACTCTTGATTTTGGCTCAGGTCATGATTTCACGGTTCATGAAGTTGAGCAGTGACAGTGCGGAGCCTGCTTGGGATTCTCTTTCTCCCTCTCTCTGCCCCTCCCCTGCACTGTCTCTCAAAATAAATAAAAAACATTAAAACAAAAAAAAAGTGGGGCACCTGGGTGGCTCGGTCAGTTGGGTATCCAACTTTGGCTCAGGTCATAATCTTGTGGTTCATGAGTTTGAGCCCCCCATTGGGCTCACTACTGTCAGCGTAGAGCCCGCTTAGGATCCTCTATGCCCCTCTCTCTGCCCCTCCCCCGCTTGCACTCTCAAAAATAAACATTAAAAAAATAATAAAAAGCATATAAAGCATAAGGGGGTATCAATGTGAAGAAGTAGAGAGGAGACAATTATCCTAGAAAAGGAAATAACGTGGACTGTCAGTCTGAATATTTTTAAATAATGCTAAAAAGAAAATGTGAAAAAAAAAATTCTTTAAAGCATTCCAGGTGTGGGAAGACAGCAAGTACAAAGGCTCTGAGGCACCAGAGCTTGGTGGGTTTGGAAACAGTGTGGGGGGGAGGAGGGGGGAGGGAGATAAGGTCAGGGTCCGTGGGTTCAGGTCATGTGGACACTGGGAGATGTTTGGATTTAGTACAAAAGGCAATAGAGAGCTATTGAAGATATATATTTTTTAAGTTTATTCATTTTGAGAGAGAGAGACAGAGTGAGCAGGGGAAGGGCAGGGAGAGACAGAATCCCAAGCAGGCTCCGTGCAGACTCAGGACTGGGACTCACGAGCTGTGAGAATGTGGCCTCAGCCAAGACCAAAAAGTTAGACACTTAACTGACTGAGCCATGCAGGTGCCCTTATTGAAGATGTTTTTCCTTTGACGGGAGAGAGGCAGGATTTCACTCGTGTTTTAGATTCATCCAGCTGCTGGGTGGAGGGAGAGTGGATTGTTAAGAGGCAGCAGATCATGGGCGACCAGCTGTGGCTTGGATGGTGCCATGCTACCCAACAGAACTTTTCTTCAGTGATACAGGTCCTGCACCTGAGCTGCCCGTTTACGGCAGCCGCTAGCCCTGTGTGGCGATGAATCACTTGAAATGTAGCTAGTGCAATGGAGAACCTGAATTTTTAATGTTAATTAACTTAAATAGCCACATGGGGCTAGTGACTACCCTATGGGACAGCACAGGTCTAGAAGGACATGGACAAAGATTAGGAGAGGGGACAGTTTGGAGATGAGCTGAAGCAGCATCCTGGCCTGTTTCCCACCATTGTACAAGGATTTCTCCAGCTTTGTGGTGATAAGGACAGAAGAATCTGAGTCGGCCGGGCCCTGACAGTGTCGGGGGGACTCGGGCTGAATGGCTGCATGGAGTCCTCCTGGCCCAGCCACTGTCATAGCTGTGGCTGCTGTTCACTGCACGCCCTCAGGGGTCCTGGATTGAGGGAGAACCAGTGGGAAGGGAGAAGGTGGCAGTATCCTGGCAGCAGCTGGGGGGCGGGAGCAGGATGTGGTCTGTCCGCCTTCAGTGGAAAGGCCAACTTTGGCAGGGAGGGAGCCAGAGGGTAGGCTGGCGCCTCGCCGGGGTAGGGGCAGGGGATTCCTGGGCCTCTGCGTCCCAAGTAATGGAAGGAGGTCACCTTTGTGCCTTTAAGAACACTAGGGCATATGGTGACCAAGTGCAGGGCATAACCCTGGGCCTGCTTCTGGACCACGGCAACCCCCCCTACGGGACATCACCGGTGACACCTGAGTCAGCCTGTGGGTTTGGCTAGAGAACAGTGTCAGTTGCTCACGTGAGTGGTTGCTCACGTTTGATACCTGTACTATGGGAGGTGATATAGAATGTGCTCGTTCTTAGAAATCCGCGGGGCACTATCCTGGGGTGAAGAAGCAGGATGCCGGCCATTACTGTGGCGTGGCTCACGTGTTTACATATAGAAAGGGCAAGTGGAGCAAAGTGTAAACACCTGGAGATCTGAGGGCGTTCTTGGCACCCTTTTTGCAACTTTTAAGTTTGAACTTGTCAATAGAAAAAATTACTAAAAACATTAAAAAGCCACACTCAGCCTTGGCCTCGGATTCAGTCTGTGCTGGGGGAGGGGTGTTCAGTCTCCCCACGTGAGTCTGAGTGTGGTGAGCTTGACAGCAGCTGTGCTGGTTGCCTGCCCGGCCCCACAGTGGCCTGGGCCCCACCAGCCCCTGAGCCTTCAGGGAGGGGAGGGATTCAGCCTCTCTCTCTCTCTAACCTGGGTGCCAGGGCAAGGGGGCAGCGGTAATGGTCACGGGCAAAATCACTAGCAAGTTTCTCCAGTTTCTCCTGAGCGCCCTGTAATCAGGCCGTTCTGGGCACTGCACGGGTTTCGTCTCGTGTAATCTTTGCTACCGGGGGTTGCCACCTCTGTTTTGCAGACGAGGAAACTGAGGCCTTAGAGACAGAGTCACCAACCCCTTGCCCATCTGAGCCCAGACAGGGGAGTCAGGTGGACAAGGAAGTGGTGCCTCCCTGACCCCTACCTACCCTCCGGTTTCAGGGCAGGAAGATTATGACCGGCTGCGACCCCTGTCCTACCAGAACACCCACCTCGTGCTCATCTGCTATGATGTCATGAACCCCACCAGCTATGAAAACGTCCTCATCAAGGTGAGGCCCGCGACCCAGCCAGCCTACCTCAGGGGTGGGGACCACGGATCTGGCCTCAGCCCTGATGCCTGCCTTCTCCCTCCACAGTGGTTCCCTGAGGTCACACATTTCTGCCGTGGGACCCCCACGGTGCTCATTGGCTGCAAGACAGACCTGAGGAAGGACAAGGAGCAGCTGCGGAAGCTCAGGGCGGCCCAGCTGGAGCCCATCACCTACATGCAGGTCGGTAGGGGGTCTCCCCTCTCTCCCCCTCCATTTCCCTCCTCTCCGCCCTCTTCTTCCCTTTGTCCTTTAATCCTTATAACGCTGAGGCGTGTTCTGTTGGCATCCCCTATTTTGTGGGAGAGAAGTGGAGACCCAGAGAGGTTAAGTGGAGGTTAAGAGCCACACAGCTAACCTGCAGCAGATCGCCAGGATCCTGCCCCAGTCACTCTGGCTCCGGAGTCTGGGTCCTTAACCACCATCCTGTCCTGTCTGCCAGAGGGAACTGGAGAGGCAGGCCTTGTTCAAAAGCAGGGTTCCCCTACCCACGAGAGTCACGGGCAAAACCAAACCCTGCGGCTTTCTGGGTGAGGCACGGGACGATAAAAGGAACGCAAAGAACACTGGTAAGAAAGTTTAATAAAAAGAAGCATTAATAAAAGCAAATGTTAGAAGAGAGAGTTTTTACTCTCCTAGCAAGCCGTTTCCTTAGTTGTGCTCTGGAGAAGAGGAGAGAGGCGAGTAGGAAGCCCTTTGTGTCTGGGGGCCCCTAGCTCTTCAGAGGCCTGGCAGACACAGTTGTCGGGATCCGGCCCCCTCTCTGCCTGAAGGTGGACAGGACGCTTCTCTCAGCAGCCGCAGCCCTCAGGCCACACCAGACAGGCCTTTATGTCCCATCCACCCACACTGGTGGGGGCTGGGCCCGGGATAGGGAGAAGGGGGCTCCCGCCCCGGGGGGCCCCCCAGAGCCAGATCCAAGTCCCCAGATCCATGAGGGGGTGTCAGGAGGTG